ACAGTCTGGCAAGGCAAGGGCTGAACTGTGTAAGCCAACTTCGGGTAGCCGTATGTCGTAGTGCTCGTTGACAGTACGATCACCATTGGCGGTTTCCAGAATATGCTCTTCGCAAATAGATATGCGATCCGATTCGGTCTGCGTCAGTTCATGTTTTCCCTGAATATGATGAGCAGAACCACTGTCGAGAACCCAAGGTCGTGTCAATGCAGCAGTCGAGCGTGGTGGGTCGACTTGCATTGTCGTTGTCTTCGTCTGGGCCGTCTTTGATGACTGCTTAACAGTGTCGTCATATTTTCGGATCGCAGTTGGTGTGTCCACCGACTCTTTATTGTGTCGGTAGTCATATAGGTCGTCGTACCATAATTGTGCCTCTTTTTGACATTCTCGTAGGGCGTCTGCACTTTGATCCCACCATCGTTGTGGTAACGGGTCTGGTACATTGACGATGTCACCCTCGTTCGGCATCTCCTTCCATTTATCCAATCTGGCCCTGCCAGATACGGTATGTAAATAGTATTCCACGTTACGTATGTCGAAGCGTATCCGACGACGTGTTATGGTAGATGTCGTAGTAGCCTTAGTGTTGGCCATGAGGGTCTTGTCACGGATGACGTAACTGCGGTCGGAACGGCGTGAACGTCGGAAGTTGGCAGGAGAACGTGCTCTGGCGTGGGGTGAGCCACGGGACGAACCATGGCTCGGGGAACGTCTGCCACGTCCTTTGTCACTGCTATATGATCTATCACGGCCGCGTGGACTACCGCGTCCGCCGCCACGATTCTCTCGCCCTCGGGAGGTAGATCTCGAAGATCTGTCGTATCGACTTCTCGATTGACTGCGAGAGTCTGGGGACCTCCTGGATGTTGAACGAGATCGGTCGTATTGGCGTCGGTTGTCACGTCCATGGCGTGAGTCGTTTGCGCAGCGGAACCCCCCGCGTTGTGAAGAACGTTGGCTTCCTGATCCGCGGGATGGTGATCGGCCACGGCTATCCTGACTGGAGGTCCGCGGTCGACTCGGGCTTCGCTCAGGAGTCTTCGCACCAGGTGTAAGATGAGCATGTTTGCATTGATCGCCCCTTGGGCACTTATTCTGTGCGAAATCTTTACACTGTGCGACGTGTGGAAAGTTACACTTGTCGCCTCTGGTACATGTGTTGCGCTTGGCGAAATCGAAGCAAAATGGTTTCGATGCTGGCTTCTTGTGAGTCGCAGGAGTGGACATACTACGGCGGGAGTTGCCACCAGCCGTCGCTGTTCTGGAAGATTTGTTGTTCTTCCAATCCCTGGAATATGTATGCAAAGCCTTGCACCGTTCACCATTGCGACAATTGCCTTTCTTCCAGGCAGCGCACACGTTGACTTGAGAACGTGTCTCATGTTCGTACCGTAACTTGGTTTGGTTATTCTCCAATTGTTTAAGCTCCAGTATGTCCAGGACACGCTGTCGGAGCCAATCATAGGTACGATTTGGGCCGCTGATCTTCATGCGCTGGTACTCGTACATGTCTTGTTTCATCCAGGCATGTCTCCGAATCTGTGTACGAAACAGAGATTCCAAGATCTTTGGATCGGGTGCTTCTCGGCACTCCAAGAGTAAAGCGTCCCAGTCAGTAATAAAACGTTGCAAATCGTCATCTCTCATCCTCAGTTCTTTAAGGCGCTCAAAGTCGTGCAGGTCGTCATCAACCTCTGTCACTTTGTAGGACGGTAGGATATGCCAGTAAATCTGGCGTCCTTTGAGCATGCGTCCTGCTTTGTGATCTCTGGTTTCGATGAGCCTGAATTGGTAGCGTAAGTCCGAGGATAAGATGTCGCTCAGAGCGGCAGCGAGTTTGCAATCGATGCTCTCAAAGTCTACACTGTCTTGTAAGTCCTCGAATGTACATTCGGGCTGTTCAGCCACGCATAGGAAGGCGTATGCTTTGGATGGTCGCCCTGAGGCGGCCCCGAAGTTCTCCCGTACTTTTTGCTGCCACTCGAGCAGCTGCGTGATCTTAGGCGAGACAGGGACTCGGACGGTGTCTGACTCCTTGATAGGAGTTGTAGCATGGACAGAAACCGCAGACAGCGGTTGCGAGGGTATCGGTGCACCGTCAGTAGTTGGTTCTGTGCGCACAGGAGACACATGGCGTGTCTGTGCAGAAGCTGCCGCGGAGGCTGCTCCTGGTGACGTACGTCGCTGTTGTCCTGCAGAAGCTTGTGGTGCTTCGGCGGACGCAACCGTCGGCCTGTGCAGGTCGGTTGCAGGTCGAAGGTGGAGATTGGTGTCGTTGGTGTGGTCGTTCAGCTGATTCGTCCAGCCCCTCATGTCTTCGTGTATTTGTGCCACCTTTTGGCGTGTATACTCATCAGTATCCCGAGAACGTTGTGAATACCGATCAAGTCGTTGCTCGTATGCTCGGAGACGGGCGCTTTGTGCCTCCAGCTCGCTTTCCAGACGTGCGAGGTGACCCTCAACACGTACCTTCTCAGTATCTCTTTCACGAATAAACTGGGAGAGCTCCAACTGCGCGTGGTCCGCCGCCTTCTCAACCTCCTGCAACCTGCCAGTGAGGCGGGCGAAATCGTAAACCGTGGGAGGAGAATCCAGCTGGCCAGTCTGGGCTCGTCCGACACGCAACTCTGCCAGGGCTTCCTGCACATCAGGAAAACGCTGCTCGATTTCAGAGATCCGGTTAGCGAGTGGCTGCACGACAGCGTTGGCCGCATCAAGCCTTTGAGTGATGACTCTCTCAGTACGCTGCAACATGTCGATCAGGTTCGACGAGTTGGTGCGTGCTTCGTTGCGAAGCGTCGCCGTAGTGTGGTCTAGGTAAGATCGAAGATCATGCATCTGAGACTGAACGTCGCCAAGGTCGGTGGCCTCGGCTGGTGTTGGTCGGTTGCGGAGCTGGTCGTGGATCTCATCATGTAAAATCCTGACTGCTGAAACGCCTGTGTCGCGTACGAGCACAAGCTGTTGCTCCATCTGCGCAAGGTAGTTGCGCAGGTTCTCGACTATCGCCGTTCGTTCACCTGAGTGTGACACCTCACGATCGACCTGGTACTGCAGTTCACCTATGATGCGTCGATATTCGGCGATCCTGGAATCAATGATCCCTAAGGCGCCGTCCAGATCGTGGCGTATGGCTGCAGTATCGGCGGCGTTCGTTCGAACGCTCTGCAGTAGTCCAGAGTATTGCCTGGACACGAAGGTTTCAACCTGGTCTCTGAGCTCAGCTATTTCACCTGCGGCGGACGTTTCCGCCAGCTGGTCGTCTGAGATGGAGAGGTGGGGAGCGTCAGCTTCCCTGTGTCCCCTGTCGCGGGGAGTGCATGGCCTTTGAGAGGCAGTACGCGGGCTCGACCTACTCTCGCCGCATGGGCCTGGGGCCCCACGGCGGTTGCGCGCGGACGAGCTGCGATTCGGACCATGTGTGTGTGGTGTCTCGTCCGATGATACCTTGGGGTACTGCGTCTGCGGCTGCGCCGCCACTGGTCTACTGAGTTCCTCGAAGGTGGCTACGTGCTCCGCCACGGGGACGGTCGCAGGGCTGGTGGTACCAGCACCTGAGGTCCATCGGCGGTTAGCGCGAAAGCGCCCTGGAGTGTCAGGACCAGTGAGGCTTTCGCCTGACGCGGTTGGGATTGCTCCCGACGGAGGAGGGGATGGAGGATCGAAGGTAGGCGTGTGAAACTCCTTCCTTCCTGTTCCTACTCCTTCTCCTGTCCCCCCGCGGACGGCGCTGCGGTGAAGTTCAGCAGCTAGCCGCGCCTCGGGTCCGTCGGAGCTGGGAGGGGGTACCTGGGACACCAACACAGTCCGCACTAAGGCTCTCCAACTCATCACCGAGCCGTCGCGCCGTCGGAGAGCTCGTACGCTAGGCCCCGATGGACCCCTTGCGGCGCATGCGCCGCTTGGGTTCCATCGAGGCCGCGTGCGAGGTCGCGACGTGCGGTTCGATGATCGGTGAGCTTTAAAGGGCTGGTAACCTGTGTATGGGGTTGAAGTACAAGGGTACAGAACCCCTGATCCGTTGGTAGAGGGAAGGAGGGATAGATGGATGTCTCTCCCTCCTGCACGATTAAAGGTCTGATCGATCTGTCCCAATACCTGAGCCCAAACGGCCAGGCGCAGGAGAGGTGAGGATAAGGAGTATATATGAGGGTATTACACGGGTTCTATTCACGCCTCGGGGCACCCCATCGATCTCACGATCCATCTCTCTATCGATCTCACTGTCGATCTCACTATCGATCTCACTCAACGGGACACCACGGGACACCACGGGACACCACGGGACACCACGGGACACCTGACAATCTCACTATCGAACTCGCTATCGATCTCACTTTTTGGGGCACCACATCGATCTCAGTATCGATCTCACTATCGATCTCACTATCGATCTCACTATTGATCTCACTATCGATCTCACTATCGATCTCACTCAACGGGACACCACGGGACACCACGGCACACCACGGGACACCACGGGACACCACGGGACACCGCAGGACACCGCGAATCACCGCTGGACGGGCGGGCAGAGGAGAATCATTTGTCTTGACTTCGCCCCAGCAACGGCGGACACTACGGGACACCGCGCGACACCGCGGGACACAGCGAGCCACCGCCGGACGGGCGGGCGGAGGAGAATCATTTGTCTCGACTTCGCGGCGGGTTCATTCCTCTCGCGCGCCCACGCAGCTCCGCCTCGCCCGCACGCACGACACGAACAAAACGAAACGATCTCCCGGCTGGGGGTCTCCGTCCTGGCTGCCATCCCCCCCCCAACCTCCGACCGTTGTCTCTGGCGGCGGGGAAGGGCAGAGGGCGGAAGCCCAGCCTTCGGAGACCTTTGCGGAAGGTGGCTGCTCTTTCACTCGCCATCAACATTCGTTGCTATGTGCGCTGGCTGCCGTCAGAGTTGAACGTGGCCGATTGGCCTTCTCGGCATGGCTTCTTTCATGGTAAAGGCTTCTCGCAGACGCTCGAAGCCTCGGACTGCCGAGGTGTCCTGGAAGCAGCTGGCGTTGACAGTCAAGGCTGCACGAGAAATAGAGCACCCGCGCCCTCGAGAATTAGCTGGGGGAGCGGTCAGCTTCTTGGAGATGTCGGCGGTCACGGACACGACGAAGGATCGGTATCGGGGACATGCTCTGCGCTTCCTGGAGTGGCTCAGTTGGCACGAGCACGACTTCAGCACCGCCAGCCAGTTGGACGTGGTGGTGATCAGTTTCTTGACGGACCTGGCGCTGGACGGGTTCGACTCGGCGACGGGCAGGATGACGGTGGCGGCGCTCAGGCACTACCTGCCGCATCTGCTGGGAGGCAAGCGTCCGCTACCTCGAGCCACTCGAGCTCTGGACGCTTGGCGCACTCTGCCGAGGGCAGCGGCCATGGCCGTCGCGGGATGGATGATCTCGATGAACTTGCCCAGCATGGCCGTGTACGCTGCGCTGGTCTTTCACGCGTACCTGAGGCCGTCGGAGGCCTATCGGCTGAGCGTGGGGTCTCTGGTCCCCCCGATCGCGGACTCGAGCTTCAACGCTTGGGGTCTCATTGTGAGCGATGCGAAGTCGGGGCGACCTGGCAAGACTGGAGTCACAGACGAGTCGGTACTGGTCGACGCCCCCGAGCTGTGGCCCGTGCTGCACGCGCTGACGCTTGGCGCCTCCACGGACTCGAGCCTCTGGAACTTCAGGCCTGCGGAGGTGCGCGCCAAGCTCGCGCAGGGGCTGCAGCAGCTCGGGCTGCAGAAGGAGTCCCCGTCCTTGTACACCATCCGCCATGGGGGGGCCTCTCACGACTTGCTCTCGGGGTCTCGAACCATCGCGGAGGTGAAGGAGGGGAGGCGCTGGATTTCGGATCAGTCGTTGAGGCGGTACGGCAAGAGGACGAGGATGCAGCAGCGCAGCGCGGATCTGCCGCCAACCGTGGCGTACTTCGGCGAGCAGGTTTTCAGCCGACTGGCAGAACTCATCGAGACAAGGCACGTGACATGATCGTTCCCATTGCACGTGCCGCTGCAGTGGCCAGCGCCCCGCGCACCGTGTGGCAGGCGCCCGTTCTGACCAGGCGTTAACTTCTCGCATGGGGTTAGTTTTTTGGCGGGCTCATGCTTGGGCGTCCAGCTGCCGCCGCCTCGTTCTGCCAGTGGCTGGGCCCCACGGACCCCCATTTGCAAAGCGCTCCGCGGTCGCGGTTTGGGGTGTCCTAGGCTGGGAGCAGGTCAGAATGCTGGCCTCTGTCTCTCTGAGCGGGTCGTCGTCGATCGAATCCTGGGTTAGATCCGATCGTCGGCGGTCGGCGCGTTGTGGCTGTCTTTGCAGCGAGGATCCTGGATTGAGTCTGGGTCTCCTCCCGCTCGCACTTCGGCCGAGCCGTGGGGCCGTCTTGCCCTCGGCTCGGCGATGTCAGGCCTGCCATTCTTCCTGTCAGAGAATGTCGAACTGCGCGCTGCCATCCATTTGACTCGTGCTTGTATCGAACACGATGTGCCTGTTGTTCTGGAGCACCCAAGAGCTAGTCTGGTGTGGAAGTACCCGAGTTGAAAGCATTGACCTGTTGCGACAGTTTTCAGGAAATTGATCTTGACCTGTATCAGTTCGGATCCGCCACGAGTTCGGCCACGCGCCTTTAGAGCTGGACTTGCCCCCATCTCTTGTCCCTCCGTTCAGTGTGTGAACCGCGCGGGAGTGTGTGCTCCTGCCCGGGGCGGCCTCATTTGCAGTTTGACGGCCGCACGGCGAGAGGCGTAGCGTGCAGGCACAAAGCTGCACGATTTCCCGTCAGAGCTGCCGAACTTGTCGCGGATTCCATCATCAGGGCAATGGAGGATTTAAATCGGTCCAGAGTGTATTGTCTTGCCGGCCAACGGCCATGATGCAATGTTACTCAATATACGTCTTTGCTGTCTGCAAGTGTACACTGCCACTCTCGGAGCCGAGGCATCGTTCCTGCCATCGCCACCGTCAGCTTCCTTAAAAAGAATGTTATGGCCGCGGCGACCCCATCTGGCATCATCATCATTATCATCATCATCATCATCATCAACAACAACAGCATCATCATCATCATCATCACCGTCATCACCATCATCACCAGCAGCATCATCATAAGCAGCATCAGCATAGGCATCAGCATCATCATCACCATATCATCATCAGCATCATCATCACCATCACCATCATCAGCAGCATCATCCTCATCAAGATCGGCATCAGCATCAGCATCACCATCATCAGCATCATCATCAGCAGCAGCAACACTATCAGCATCGCCATTATCGGCATCAACAAAAGCATAGTCGTAACCGTCATCGTGCTCGTATCACTCATCAACAGCATCAACATCATCAACATCAGCATCATCATTATCAGCATTATCATCATCAGCGTCATCAGCCGCAGCAACACCCACACCACCACCACCACTACCACCATCATCATAAATATCATCATCATCAGCATCAGCATCATCAGCATCACCATCATCATCACCATCATCAGCATCAGCATCACCATCATCATCATCATCAGCGCCAGCATCATCAGCATCATCATCATCATCATCATCATCATCATCATCATCGTCATCATCAGCAACATCCTGCCTCACCCTTATCCTCCTCATAATCGTCATCAATATCCTCCTACTCAGCATCATCATCACTCCGCTTCCTCCTCCTTATCCGCCCCCTCCTCCTCCTCCTCCTCATCCTAGTCATCGGTATCATCATCATCCTCATCATCATCATCAGCATCATCATCATCAGAAGCATATTCAGCAACATCATCATCATCAACAGCGTCAGCATCGTCATCATTATGATCATCCTCATCACCACCACCACCACCATCATCATGCCCATCATCATCATGCCCATCATCCTCATTATCCGCATCGTCCTCATCACGGCACTCCCAAGCCTGGAGACACGAGATGTCACACATCACGGCCTCCCATGTCCCCTCGGACAGTCCCAACCCAAAATGCTGGGCTGGCACGGCGGCGGGACTTGTCGCAGGCAGCTGGACAGGTGAAACTTCGTTGGCGTTGCAACCGCACCTCTGTCAAAATGTCTGGATGTCTGCGCGAACGCGCGTTTGTTTAATCATCCTGAAGAGCACCATGGCGTTAGCTTTGCCAGCACTATCAGTACCACGGTAATCATCACCACCGTCAACTACATCACCATCACCATCGTCATCGTCATCGTCCCCACCGTCATCTTGAACGTCATCATCGCCATCGTCGTTGCCGTCGCCCTCGTCCAAAGCACCACCATCACCCTTATCTGCATGAGAAGGGTCCTCGCGTCAGTACACTAGCTGAGGTGTGCCAACAAGTTGTGGGCGGGAGAGTGGGAGGTCTGCTCGAGCATTCAAGCTGACGACTGCAGTTTCAACGCGCGAGTTGTCCTACCAAAGGAAGAATAGACTCTGCCACCTTCCCGCGCCCGGAGTTGGCCGTTCATCTTTTTGTGTTGCAATTTACAGCTGGCCCTGGCTCACCGCTCATGTGAAACCAGACCATCCCAGCCAAAGCGATATCGCCCCCCCCGCCATCTCCTGGAAAGAAACATGCGCCGCACATGCGTTGATCTAACACACGTGTTTGGAAATAGTCCCGCGCAGAAAATAAATTACGGCGCATATACGCGCGCCGCCACACGCGCACATCTAATCCTTCGAAAGCCATGCTTCACAATCTCAGAACATGGTTCAAAAAACCATCAGAAGGCCACTGGCTGCTCAAAAAAAGCTGCCACAATTCTGCGCGCACGCCCGCACAAATTTCAGGAAAACACCGAATGTCAAACCTTTTCGCCGAATCGGACTATCGGGCCACTCGCGCGGGCATGTCGAAAACGTCAAACCACCATCGCGCACCTACCAACTGTGCCAAATAGTACCACCACACGCGCACGTTGCCGCGCGCGCACGTCGAGATCATGTCAAGATGCCTTGATTACTTCGGGCGCATACGCCCTGAACATATCATCAGCATAATCGTCATCCTCATCGCCAGCAGCATGGTTCCATCGTCATCATCACCCGCAGCAGAATCATCATCATCATCATCATCATCATCATCATCATCATCATCATCATCATCATCATCATAATCATCATCATCATCAGCATCATCATCAAAATCATCGTCAAAAACAGCATCTCACCATCGACGTCGTCGGGATCATCACTGTCGCAGTTGTCGACATCATCATGTCGCGCCCGCCCTGGCCACCGACCCGCATTGCAATGGCCGCACGCCATCGCGGCCTTTGTGACGAGCTGGGAAGCTCCCATCGCGGCGCATCATGTGTACCAAACCGTCTGCCCGATCTGCGCGGGAGCGAACGCGCGCCACTGCGGCCGCAGAGATGCGCTGGCAAGAGCCACTCGGCAACCGCAGTCGTAGCCAAAGGCAGTTTGCCAAACAACTTGCGGGTGGGAGGGTGGGATGTTTGCCTTCTGCAAAACAAACACCACGACGTCCTCACGCGCGCGCACATGTCGAAACCACACCTAGAATAACTCTGCAAGCATGTCAACAAAGAGGTAGTTCATAAACTAATAGGTTCCATCAACCACAACACAGAGCTTCTGCCCAGCGCACGTGCTGAAACAATAGGAAGCCGTATAGCTGGAAGAATCTCGTCGAGGACCCGCAACGTCATGTCACCACGCGGTGCATCTGCATTGGTCTAGCATGCGTCCAGCGCACGAATCAGCATCGAAACAGAGCACGCGGGCCACACGGGCGCGCCGCCACGCGCGAGTCTCGAAATCCGTTCGAGACCATGTCGAAGCAGGTCCACGTAGAGTTCTTGAAAACATGTAAAGACCAATTTTTGCTCAACAACAAGAATGTCCGATTTCTTGAACTGTTCGCACGCGTGCGCACTTCCTCACCATCACCCTCACAAGCGCCAGCGCATCACCGCCGCTATGGTCATCGTCAATCGCCGCCATTGCCGCCATCCTCAGTCTATCACCTTGATCACCGGCACTTGGAAATGATTATCGTCATCGTTGTCACCGACATCGGCCCCGTCATCAGCATTGCCGTCATCATCGTTATAACCGCCACCACCATCGCTACTATTATCATCATCGTTGCCGCCGTTGCCAACGTCATCATGATATCGCGCCCGTCCGAGTCACCGACCCACACGAAAGTGCCCGCGCGCCAGAACGACCTTAGAGACGCGCTGAGAAGTTTCCATCGGTCAGCGCCATCGCGGCCGCACCAGTTGTGCCAACTAGCCAGCTGCTCTCCGCGCGAGCTTGCGCGCGCCAGCGCGGCCGCAGAGATGCTCCCTCATAGATCGCATCCCATAGCTTGGACCAAATAGGTTGCACCACACAGATAGTACCACATAACAACGTCATTTGCCCCACCTAGGTTGCACCACATAGGTTGCACCCCATCGATCCCACCACATCGATTGTACCTCAAGTGCTTCGCCACATAGATTGCGTCCATGTTGCACCACACAGAGTGCACATCGAGATTGCAAGAACCTCTGTTTGGGGTCCGTGCTGGTACACATGTTCCCCTTGCAGTTCGCGACAGGATGTATTTCTGTTTCCAAATAGCAACGCAACCACACTGCGCCTCGCACATTGCCTTCGCACGAACGCCCTGTGGCGGTATTCTTTTGCAGCGATAATATATGTTGAACCGGGATACTGCCATGCGAGAAAGACTTACTCGAAGTCATCAGATTACGCCTCAGTGTCCAAAAGCATGCAACGTCTTTTGGCTGAGACCTGTGAAACTTGCTCGCAGACGCGCACGTCCTCAAAACTAAGAGCCAGCTCACCCGTCAACAGTGTGATTTAAATCGGCGGCGCGCCCAGGGGGGAAGACAAAATGGGCGGGCCTTCTCAGAAGGCTCAGAAGGCCTCCAGCCTTTGAATAAGCGCCCTAAGCCTTCTCAGAAGCCACGGAGAGCATCTCGGGAGACTCGAGTGATTCTGAAAAGACCCGCCACCTTCGAGAGAGCGTGATCCACCGCCGCTTTTCTGTGGAAAATGCCCCCCCTCTCTTCCTCTGGAACCCGGGGGCCCCCCCCCCTCGAAAATCCCCACCCCCCTGCTGGAACACCCCCCTCCCCCCCCCCCTTCCCCCGGCAACCCCCCCCCCTAACCCCTCCATCCCCCTCCCTCCCCCCCTCCGGAAAACCGGGGGGGGGTCACTACCCGTTCGAACACCCCCGCCCCTCCCCTCACCGCCGGCAAACGACTTCCGCGTCCCCACCACCGTCCGCACCACATCCCCCAGCGCTGTCCCCAGCACCACCCCACCACGGTCCCCACTGTCCCGACCAGTGCCCCCACCACTGTCGCACTGTCCCCACTGTCCCCACTGTCCCCACCACTGTTCCCACCACGGTCCCACTCTCTCCACCTTCCCCACGGTCCCCACCACTGTCCCACTGTCCCCACTGTCCCCGCTGTCTCACTGTCCCACTGTCCCCGCCGCTGTCCCATTGAGCTGTCCCCACTGTCCCACCACTGTCCCCACTGTCCCCACCACTGTCCCCACTGTACCCCTGTCCAATTGTCCCACCACCGTCCTCACCACCGCCCTCACCACTGTCCCCACCACCATCGTCCCCACCGCTGTCCCACTATTCCCACTGTCCCCAACACTATCCCACTGTCCCCACACTACTGTCCCCACCACCACCGTCCTCACCACTGTCCCACTGCCCCCACCAGTGTCACAGTGTCCCCACTGTTCCCACCATTGCCCCCGCTGTTCCAACCAGTGCACACACTAGTGTCTCACTGTCCCGACTGTCCCCACCAATGTCCCACCACGGTCCCCCTCTCCCCATTGTCCCCGCTGTCCTCCCCACTGCCCCACTGTCCCCACTGTTCCCACCACTGTCCCACTGTCCCCACTGTCCCCTTCGCTGTCCCACTGTCCCCACTGTCCCCACCACTCTCCCCACTTTACCACTGTCCCACCACCGTCCTCACCACCACCTTCACCACTGTCCCCACCACTACCGTCGCCACCACTGTACCATTGTTCCCACTGTCCCCACCACTGTCCCCACCACTGTCCCCACCACTGTCCCGCTGTCCCAAGACCACTGTCCCCACCACCACCGTCCCCACCACTGTCCCACTGTCCCGAGGAGCGGGAATCGTTTGCCGGCGGCGAGGGGGGGGGGGGTCGAAAAGGTAGTGACCACCCCCCCCCCTCCTTTTCAATGATGGACGGGGGGTGGGGGAGGGGGGGGGTTCGAATCGGTAGTGACCCAACCCAGTTTTCGAGGGACGGTGGGGGTGGGACGGACTGGGAATCCCCAGTGACCCCCTCTGGTTTTCCTCCAGCAGCGGTAGAACATGCTCTTTCCCACTTTCTGAGAATGCCTGCCCCCTCTCACTTCCCCCCTCGGGGAGCCGCCGAGATTTGAAGCATCACACTCAGATTGCTCTACATGGAGCCACCCCCTGACTGGGCGCCCGCCGCGATGCAGCTCTTCGCCATCCACGCCGAAGGATTCCGTATACCCCCGTCCCCCATCTTCTGCTGCAGGAAGCTTGCTAGGTCGACTTGCTTCTCGTACGGAAGCTGCTGCAACAGCTCCTTCGCCTTCTCGTCGAGAACCATCATGACTAGCGGAACTGCTTGCGGCATCAGTGGCGTGGTAGACCTCGGCGTCCCCATCTGACCGACGCCCATGCCGCCGCTCATGCTGCTCATGCCCGTCATGTTGCCTCCCATTGCCATCGAGTTGCCGCCCATAGCCGACGCGTTGCCCGCACCTGCAGCAATGCAGCTCTTTACCATCCATCCTGAAGGATTCATGACTTTCCCCTCATTGACTTTGGCCTGTAAGCAACTCGCTAGGTCGACTTGTTTTTCATACGGAAGTTTCTGAAGCAACGATTTCGCCTTATCGTCTATGATCATCATGATTTGCTGCAGCGCTTCTGGATTCGCTGGCACTGTGTTTCCAGCTGGAGAGCCACCCATTGACATCGGGTTGCCGCCCATAGCCGTCGGGTTGCCGCCAGGAATGCTCTCAGTCCTGGCTCCTGCCGCAATGCAGCTTTTTACCATCCATCCTGACGGGTTCATGACTGTCCCCCCTTCGATTCTGGCCTGTAGGCAGCTCGCTAGGTCGACTTGCGTCTCTTCCGGAAGCTGCTGCAGCAGTTTTTTCGCCATCTCGTCGATGACCATCATGATTTGCTGCAGCGCTTCTGGATTAGATGGCACTGTATTGTGGGACGAAGAGCCATAAGGGCTTGCCCTGGCCGTCATGCCACCCATCCTCTGACCACCCATCTTGCCAAACCCGCCCATCATGCCACCAAGCAACTGGCCACCGAGCATCTGGCCACCTAGCAGCTGCTGCATCTGACCACCCAGCATCCCGCCACCTAGCAGCTGCTGCAGCTGGGCCTGCTGCATCTGGGCCTGGCTGCCCATCATCTGGCCGCCCATCATGTTCATCATGCCTCCGGCGCCGAGCCCCTGCTTCTTGGCCTTGACAGCAGCAGAAATGATCCAGGCAGACGGATTCTGAACGCCTGGAGAAGCCCTTAGTTGGTTCAGTAGGTCGACCTGCATAGGCTTCGGCAGCTCCATCAAATGTGCCCGTGCACTGTCGTCGATACCGAGAACGTCAGGACCAGTGACGATACCAATGAGGAAAGCTGATGCGTTCCGGACTTTTCCAGCATTGATGTGTTCCTGGAGCTTCTGCAGACACTCGGATTGCTTCTCAGGGGTCAGCTTTTGAAGCGCAGCAACGGCTTTCTCGTCGATCCCATATACAGCCATCAGTTGGGAGGTATTGCCATCCATCGGCTCCATCGAGAAGGGCAGTGTACAGCCTACTTAGCCCAGTATCACTAAGCCAGGCCTTGGCCAAACATATCTCCAGCCCGAGAGGCTTGAGCCAGGATGTATATGATTTCCGCCGTTGCTGTTTTTGGGGTGTGCCCTTGGGCCCACACTGGGCCTCAGAGGCACAACTCAAAAACGGACCGTCATTTGCTCAGGACGGCGGACACTGAGATTCGACGTCGCGAATCAGGACTTTGCGAAAAAGCCACGACGGACCAGCCGCCCCCATAGCTCCACATGATTTCTGTAGCCAGGTCGATCCGTCAGGGTCCTGGGCCTCGAGACGTGGCTGTCAACGACTCTCAGCTCTGCAGTGGCGAGGGGCGACAAGGCGACAGAGATGTCTGGCTGTGCCGCTCCACCATGTTCTTCCTTTCCTGGAGCTCACAATACCGTTTGGAGATGGGGGGCGGGGGGGCCGACCCTGAAGCGCTGGACGAGGGCTCCTGATATTGAGCCGGCTGAAAGAAGTCCGAAAGAGCGCGCACGCACAGCCATGAATAAAAAAAGGGGGGGCCCAGCTTCAATCTACCCCATCCCCCCCGTTCCCTTGGGAAAAAGGGAGCGTCCGAAGCTACGAGAGAGCGCGTTTCACGGGCACTTGCCTCGGGAACATTCGGCGGCGCGTTTCGAACCGCGGGGTGGGCCCCCCCCCCAACACTCGGCGCCGTCGGTCAGAACCAGCCAGGGGGACTCCCCTCCCCCTTAAACCCCCCCCCTCCCGAACCACCCCCTCCCCCAAAGGGGGGAAGGGGTTCAAACCCGTCCCCCCCCCGGGCGCCGGCGCTGGCGGCCGCCAGCAGCGTGGACGGCGGGGACGCACTGACGATGACCAGAGGCAGCCCAGGGGGGGAGGGGGTGGGGGGATCCACCCCCCCCCCCGCGCCGGCGCTGGCGCCAGCGCTAGCGGCGGCCAGCAGCGCCGACGGCGGAGACGCAGCGACGATCACCACAACCACCACCACCACCACTACCACCACCACCACCACCACCTCAACCCACCACCACCACCACCACCACCAACCCACCACACAACCACCTCCACCACCACCAGCCACCGCCACCACCACCACCACCACCACAACTCACCACCACCACCACCACCACAAAACCCACCAACAATACCACCACCACCATCACAATCCACCAAACCACCACCACCACCGCCACAAAAAAACACCACTACCAGCAGCATCACCCACCACCACCACCACCACCACCACCACAAACCACACACCCCACCACCACCACCACCACCACAACCACCTCCACAAACCACCGCCACCACCACAACCCAGCACCACCACCACCACCACCACAAACCACCACCACCACAGCCACCACCAAACCACCACCACCACAACCCACCACCACCACCACAAACCACCACCACACCACCGCCAAACCACCACCACCACCACCCAACATCACAACCACCACCACCACAACCAACCACCACAAACAACCACCACCACAACCAGAACCCACCACGACCACCACCACCACAAACCACCACCACCACCACCACAAACCACCACACCACCACCACCACCACCACCACCACCACCACCACCAACCACAACCACCACCACCGCAACAAACCACCACCACCACCACCACAACCACCACCACCGCCACAACCACCACACCCCACCACCACCACCACCACAACCACTACCACCACCACAACCACCACGGCAAACCACCACACCACACCACCACCGCCACCGCCACCACCACCACCTTATCCCACCACCGGCACAACCACCACCACCACCACCAGAAACCACCGCACCACCAACTCCACCACCGCCACCACCACCACCACCACAACCTGCCACCACAACCTGCCACCACAACCACCACCACCACCAACCACACCACCACCACCGCCACCACCACCACCGCCACCACCACCACCACCACCACCACAGCCAACCACCTCCACCACCACCTCAGAGAGGCCCCAAGAGACGCCCAAGAGGCGCCCAGGAGGCTGCACAAATGCCCTTCAGAGGCCCGCGAGAACCCTCCGACGAGACCCCAAGAGGCATCCATTAGGACTCTGACCCAAAACCACGGCAAGGTGGCGGAACGTCGTCGCATATCCAACTTTGTTGTACCGTAATAGCGATAGTCCCAGAAGTAGGAAATCGTCGCGGGAACGACGAACCATGTCAAGCGAATGCGTTTTCGGTCTCAATGGCAAGTAGTGTGCCTCGCGATGAGGCACTGTCATATCTTGGCGGCCGGCCGCTTGAGCACAAACGGCCGCGGACAAACGCTCGCTACCTCTCGCCTTTGCCCCAGCCTCCTTTGGAGTGGGAGGGGTCCCCAGGGAGGTAACGGGGGAGGTCCCGGGGGGGCTCTAGGAATCGCGCCCTCCCCGGGCGATCCCCCGTAAACACGGAGGACAGGGGTATTGTCTTTTTGTGGGCAGGGAGAACTCAGGACCTCTCCCCCGCCCCCCCACTGTGGACAAAGGGACAACCACCACCACCACCCCCTCCCAGAACACCCCGGGGGGCACCTTCCTCACTCCTATCTGATGTTGCGGGGTGCTGCGTATTTCCCAGATGCCTCCACGCGCCCTCATATCCTTCTCCGAAGCGGCCCCACATAGCCACGGAGTTCCCCGAGAAGTTCCCCAAGAATTCCCCCAACTGAGCCTAGTGGCTCCCAAGGAAGCCCCACGAAGGGCTCCACAACGTCAGCATCGTCGTCGTCGTCGCCTCCGCCGCCGTCGTCGTCGTCGTCGTCCCTCCGCCAGCCGCAGGGCTTTCCCAACATTGATTGGCCTGGGAGTGAAGAATTCGGAATGCGGCGAATCTGACTCTGAGTCTGTCTGACTGTGAGCGGGTCTGAAGTCAAAAGAATCTGGATGTGGGCGAATCTCAGCGTAAGTGAACGCGGGTGTGGACGAGGGAAAAGGAAGCGTGATGGAGGAAGGAAAAGGTGGAGGCATCACAATAACAGCAATAACCACAATCTTCGGATATGGGGAACCACGACGAAACAATCCTTCAACTTCGATCTGTGGGAACCATCGCGCGGCACTGGGCCGCGCTCCCTGAGGTCCCTGTTGGTCCCCTGAGACCTCTGGGGGCGCATTTGTTTTGGTCACCGGCCGCAAGAGAATCAGACGGCGGTCGAGCATCGGCGCGGCGCGCCGAAGCACAGCAAGGCACGAGGAGAGAACGCGCCGAGGCGCAAGGCGGCCAGGGAAGCCAGGAGGCGAGGGAGCCACACTCGGACCATGAAAGTCAACGTGTGCGAGCCGAGGTGCAATTCCTTGAAGTGCAGGGCGAGCATGAGGGCGGAGCCGGGCAAGTAGCCCGTGGGGGAAGCCCGGCAGGGGTGAATGTACAACCGCACAGCGCTGCCAATCGATTCAAAGCAAAACCAAGTGCGAGCGTCCGCCAGAGAACTGGGACCCTAACGCGCGAAACCCGCACAGGTGTTGGGCCGTGAACACAGTGAACGACGACCAGGGATGCGGACCACGTGGGCGAGCGACCTTGCCGAAGAGCACCACAGGAAGGTCGAGGACAAAATGAGCAGCGACTAGGTGAGGGGACCATGAAGGTGTCGTCAACCTTTTCGAAGAGCAAAATCCTGAGTCCAGCGCCGGGCCAGGCCACGCAGCGCAGGCATCACATGTTGTTTTACGTCGCGGCGCGGCAGAGGCAATCCGCTCGCGCGTCCGGGCAACACTGGGCTACGGAGTCGCGAACAGGCATCACACAGGCTGCGGCCAGAAGACTGGTGGGACCACCGTCGGCATGGCGGCGCCGGCGGGGGGGGGGAGGAGAGGGAGAGGGAGGAGGGAAGCAGAGGCAGGCAGGAGGGCCGGGCGAGGACCCAGAGAGGCGAACCAGGGGAGCAAAAAGCCCGAACAGTGATAGACCGAAAACCAGGTGGCCATGGGGGCAAAAAGACCGAACAACGTGAGAAGATGACGCGCACGCCAGCATGCCAGACGTGACGGCGGCGTGGCCAGGCCTCTGGAGGCACAAAGAAGACTGAAAACACCAAAACATCTCGGTCATCCAACCTCGGCGTGAGGGTAAAAAGGAAACGGGTCCTGGAGCCTGGGGATGGCCCGGGAGCCCAGGAGATGGCTCGACGAAGGGCCCGAAGACGGCGCAGCACCTCCAGGACGCCTTTTCCTCCAGGACCCTTCCGCCGAGAACCTGGAACCCCTCGGGATGGACGAAGGGGGCTAGCAAAAGGAGACGTCGGGAAACCAGCTGCACGTGGCTGGATTTCCTGACGCCTGCCGGCGCCGGGGGGGCCGCCGTGTATCGAGGCATGTGCCAACTCGCAGCAAATCTCGTGCCACCCCATCTTCCCAGCCACCCCACACCCATTTCGCCCCCCACCCCCCCCCACCCCCGAACTTCCAACCTCAAATCGAGGACCGAAAAACAGTCTGCCAGAATTCTGGTGGAGGCTGCCCAAAATGGGGCCAGAGCACACGAGGCGAGAGGATTGCACAGCATCGGAGGTGCATCGGACATGCATCGGCTATGCATCGGCCATGCATCGGCCATGCATCGGCGACGTCGTCATGGAGAACATCGAACTCTGAATCGCGCCGCACCGTCGAGAGACCGGTGATGCGGCACGATCCCCCGACCCCGTCATCAACCCCAGCCCCATAAGCATCAGGGTGGCCAAGATCCCACATGTTGCGAGACGTGTCCCTGGCACAAGATGCCCCCAGGATTTCCAAGGAGGCCCAGACGGCGTCAAGAGTACACGTCAGGGCCCCAGGGCTGGAAAATGGCGCGGAAAGCTGGGGACACCTTCCCTGAGATCCGACACCGCAAAAAATACAACAGCGTGGAAAATCACTACCAGAAGCCCTTACCCCAACTTCCTGTGGAATTTCTCCAGCTGGATCGATCCGTGAGGGTCACGGGGGCCGAATCTGGGCGAAAACGCCCAGTGCGAAAAAACGTGACGCCAAGACTTCAGGGCTTGTGTGCCCCGACGGATCCTCGAACCACGAATCGAGGACTGAAAATAACAAACAATGCCCGCTGGCGGGGTAGAGGCCTCCCAACTGGGGTCTGAGCAAGCAGGCTCAGGGGATCGCACCGCATCACCCTATGCATCGACAGTGCATCGGCGGCGTCTGCGTGGAGAAAATCGAGCTCCACGTCGCACCGCATCGCCGATGCATCGGCGATGCATCGGCGACGTCGGCGTGAAAAGATCGGGCTCCGCATCGTGCCGCATCGCCGATGCGTCGGAGATGCAGCGCGATCCTCCGACCACATCTTCGCATGCTCGAAGTCGGAAGCAGCAGCAAGCCCGACAGCGCCCCTTGCGTACCTCAAACTGCCGACGTCCGCGGCTAACATCCACCGCGAGCACGGTTCAAAATAGAGAGGAACTGCTGTCGGTCGCCATTATTTCGTACCCAGTTCGATGCTCTATCTAGATTCTACTCACTCGGACCCCATCTGGGCGCTCTGGTCGGGAGCACCGCACGACACCGCGGCCGCGCGCCGCGACCGCGCGCCGCGACCACGCGCCGCCTCTGCCGGGGCCCACGCCTCCGTCGGCGCCCCCAGGGGCGGTGCCGCCTCCTCGGCGGAGCGGCCGCTGCTCGACACCGCCGTCCGTCGCCGCCGCCGTCGCCGCCGTGGCCGCTGGCCAGTTGCCGTCGCCCGAGGGGCGCCTGGTCCACGGCGCCGATCGCGCTGGCGGTCTCTCCTCGACTTCGGCCTCGAAAGGCCCGTTTCGGACTCCGAGGCCGTCAGAAAGCAGGCCTGGATGAACCAACACAGCTAGGATGGGCCTCGGGAGGGGTCTAGGGGCTGGCTGACCACCGTCCACGCCGGGAAAATTAGCCTGGCGAAGGACCCAACCATATTCAGCTATAGGTACTGCGATCGCATGTATAATCTTCGGCGGGGTTCTTATGGGGGTGGGGGGGCGCGAAATGTGTGAGGGTGTCTCCCTCTGTGGGCCACAAGGCGGCGCCTGCTTTGCAGTACGCCATGCAAGGCTCCGCAGCTTCGCAGGTCGCTCCTCCACCCAGGTGGGGCCTTGGGTGGAACTCTCTGTGGGGCCACGAAACGCTGTCCTGGGTGGGGGGGGACGCATGCGAACACCGCCACTGGCGCCTTAAGTGGAGCTCCCTGTGGGGCCACGAAACGTTGTCCTGGGTGGGGGAGACGCATGCGAACACCGCCAATGGAGCCTTAAGTGGAGCTCCCTGTGGGGCAACGAAACGCTGTCCTGGGTGGGGGGAGGCGCATGTGAACACCGCCACCGAGGCCTTGGGTGGAACTCTCTGTGGGGCCACGAAACGCTGCCCTGGGCGGGGGAGGCGCATGTGAACACCGCCACTGGGGCCTGGGGTGGAACCCCCTGTGGGGCCACGAAACGCTGTCCTGGGCGGGGGGGACGCATGCGAACACCGCCGCTGGAGCCTTAAGTGGAGCTCCCTGTGGGGCCACGAAACGCTGTCCTGGGCGGGGGAAACGCATGTGAACACCGCCACTGGGGCCGTAGGTGGAGTTCCCTGTGGGACCACGAAACGCTGCCCTGGGTAGGGGAGACGCATGTGAACACGTCATTCGGGCCTTAGGTGGAGCTCCCTGTGGGGCTGCGAAACGCTGTCCTGGGTAGGGGAGACGCATGCGAACACCGCCACTGGGGCCTTAAGTGGAGCTCCCTGTGGGGCCACGAAACGCTGCCATTGGTAGGGGGGAACGCATGCGAACACCGCCACAGGGGCCTTGGGTGGAACTCTCTGTGGGGCCACGAAACGCTGCCCTGGGCGGGGGAGGCGCATGTGAACACCGCCACTGGGGCCTTGGGTGGAACTCCCTGTGGGGCCACGAAACGCTGCCCTGGGCGGGGGAGACGCATGCGAACACCGCCGCTGGAGCCTTAAGTGGAGCTCCATGTGGGGCCACGAAACGCTGTCCTGGGCGGGGGAGACGCATGCGAACACCGCCACTGGGGCCGTAGGTGGAGCTCCCTGTGGGACCACGAAACGCTGCCCTGGCTAGGGGAGACGCATGTGAACACGTCATTCGGGCCTTAGGTGGAGCTCCCTGCGGGGCTGCGAAACGCTGTCCTGGGTAGTGCGAACACCGCCACTGGGGCCTCAAGTGGAGCTCCCTGTGGGGCCACGAAACGCTGCCATTGGTAGGGGGGAACGCATGCGAACACCGCCACAGGAGCTTTGGGTGGAACTCCCTGTGGGGCCACGAAACGCTGCCCTGGGCGGGGGAGGCGCATGTGAACACCGCCACTGAGGCCTCAGGTGGAGCTCCTTGTGGGGCCACGAAACGCTGTCCTGGGTGGGGAAGACGCATGCGCACACCGCCAGTGGGACCTGAAGTGGAGCTCCATGTGGGGGCCACGAAACGCTGTCCTGGGTGGAGGAAACGCATGCGAACACCGCCATTGAAGCCTTCGCTGGGACTCTGTGTGGGGCCACGAAATGTGTAAGGGGTGTGGCGAAATTGGTGGCGATGATGGTGACGATAACGGTGGTGATCATGACGACGATGACATGGCGATGACGATGACGATGGCGATGATGATGCTGACGCTGCTGCTGATGATGATGATGATGATGATGATGATGATGATGATGATGATCGCACAGCCCCATCACGCGCCGAGGTCAGCGACAGCTGGTGCGGCTAAATGATGCATTGGCGATGGGCAAACGATTCAATTGAATGTGCAGCAAATTGGGTGGCAATGCTAGTAGGTCTCCTCATCTATGAGGCCAGCACCGCCGAGTGCGAAGAAGGGGTGGCCAGGGAAGTGAGAGCGAAGAAGCTCAATCCTTTGAACACTGGCCGTGTGACAGTACGGGCATTCCCAGTTCAAGGCGCCAGGTGTCTCCAGTCCTACGTTTTGGGCAAACGGCTAATCCAGGATGTGGCAGTGCAAACAATCTACTAATGTCGGCCGTCCTGGAAGAGGCTTCGTTCGCGAAATGCACGGACGCAGTAGCATGATGCACATCAACACTATAAATTATCACGGGCGTCCTTCCAAATCAACCGCAAAGTGTCCAACTGCGTCGATGCATGAATCGTAATAACCAAGAAACTTATTATGTGCAATCTCCGCTGCAATAGAGACGGCGCGCGCTCGAGCACAACGAATGCGACACTTATTGAAAGCTGGAAATCTACAATACACGCGATCCCAGCAATGGGAGGGAAGCGAGAGCCAAGAGGAGGCGAGTGCGGCAGCAACGAAATCAGCAGCACATGGCGGCTCAGGGCACTCACTCACTGCAGCAGCGTCTCCAGCATCATCTTGAGGCTGAGCGTGAGCGCCACCCTCACCACGATCATGGCCTGCGGACAAGATGTTCAAAGTCTTGAGGACTTCGCTCATGGCTTGGCTAAGCATGCGCTCCACGTTGTCCACGGTGGCGATCTCCTGCGTGTTGACCGCTGGCGCCAGTGATTCAGCCCGCTGAGGTTCACGAAATACCCGCCGTGCCGGAAAGCCGGACGGCCACGAGGCTGTTGGGCATGGCCAGCGAGTTAGAGTAAGCGTTCACGCCAGTGAGAGGCTGGGAAATGGCGGCGCCAGAGGAAGGCCAGGACAAAGTTGGTCTTCTCCAGGGCGAACTTGGCGGCACCACAGGAAGGGCATGACAAAGTCGTTGATCTTCAGGGCGAACAGGAACCCGAGAACACGACGGCAGTCAGTGCAGCACGCTCTTCAAACACTGGTTAGCAGGTGTTGCTGGCCCAGTTGTGCCGCGCACGATCTCCTTGACGATGACAGCGTAGAGCTTCCCGAAATACATGAGGTGGCAGGTGAGGCCGCGCGGCGTGCGCCGCCTGCTTCGCGAAGTGGAAGGGGACACCGGCGATGCGCGAGTGATCGAAATGCAGCTGCATTGACTTGGCTTGAGCCTTCACCCTGTCGGCAAGGTCGGCACGGACCGCGATGAAGACCTGGTCACTGCGAGGTCGTGGCGCGAGGAAGCCTCGCAGGGCTGCCCGCTCGCGCCGCTCGAGGAGCTTGGGAAGAGAATGCTTGCCGACCATCTGATACTATGTGGGTATGTGCACAACTCGAGGTTGTGGCGCAGCCAGGGAACAGAAAAACAAACAAACGAATGCGCGCCTCCTGTAGGCCTTGAGCCAAAATGGCTACGGATGATGATGATGATGATGATGCTGCTGCTGCTGATGCTAATGCTGATGCTGATGCTGATGCTGATGCTGATGCTGATGATGATGCTGATGCTGATGCTGATGCTGATGCTGATGCTGATGCTGATGACGACGACGACATGCGCAGAGCACAGGCAGGGATGGGAGGAGGGAGAAGGGGGAGGAGGAAGGAAGGAAGAAGGAAAGAACGCGGGGACCGTCTCTTCAAAACGAGGACCCAACACCACGGGATGGTTGGGAAAAACACGACGGGTCACTCTTCGGCCTCCGGGGGCTGGACTACGTCAGAGAACGGCTGCTCGGGGTGGAAGGCTGGCGCCAGGGCAGGGGTCGAGACCTTCAGGGGGGGGGGGGGCCACCGCGGGAAGAAGTCACGAGGTCGGAGGAGGAGGAGGAGGAGGAGGAGGAGGAGGAGGAGGGAGGAGGAGGAGGAGAAGGAGTGGGAGGAGGAGGAGGAGGAGCGACCGTACCAAGAAGGAACGAGACGAGGGCAGGCGGGCAAGACGCGAGAAGAGGGCAAGTGTCCGCGCGTCCGCTTGTCTCGTCTATGGCCGCATCGCATGCAGCGCAGCAGCTAGGCACTCAGTGCCTGTAGTGTAAAGAAGCGCGGCGCGGGGCGCGGCGTGCGTAATGATACGCAGTTTGTTGTAGAAGTGAAATGAAAGTGCTGTCCTGCGAACAGCTTCTGAAACTGTGTGCTCTGGGTTTGCGTGTTGCTCTGACGTCCCTAGGCCAATTCGCACGAGGGGGTCCGAGGAGAGAAAGGAACGAGGTAACGCGAGGAAGTGAAGAAGGCGAGGACAGGTGAGGTAGTGGCCGAGACGGTCAGGGCAAGCTTCGCACCCGAGCAGACACGTGCGGCGCGGTCCAAATGGGAATCGGTGACTGGTCCGCCATGCTCCCGCTAGCGTTTTAAAGACAGCCCAGCGGATGGCTGGAGCTTTCTTTGAAAGGTATTCTGATAGCTCCTTCCAGCGGGTTGGTAGGGCTGGGGGGAGCACGATTTCTGGGAGAGCCGACGAGAGGCGGCGCGCTAGGGTCTCTGCGAACTTGTCGGGGTAGAGGGAGGCGTGGAGGACCGAGGCAAGAGTTCGCTGGACCCTGGAGCGGCGCGCTTCGTTGGTGGCAGCAGCGTGCTCGTCTGCAGCGGCTTGTTGCGCCGAGCGCCAGATGGGCAGTGAAACGTCGTATGGCGGCTGACCGTCGGCGAGGTCTCGCCAGTATTCCACGATACCTGGACTTGTCCAAAACACAGGCGAGATCGTGGCCCGAATATGGGCCTGCCCCAAATCCGCCAGAGACAGTTCTGGATTGAGCTGGTCCTGGGCCAGGACGAGAGCGCGATACAGCGGCTTCCAGTCGGGAAGCGTGGCAGCGGCGGCGCGCCAGGCAGCTGCGAGTGAAAGCGTGACCAGTGA